TGTTGTTGTTTCCCGTGTTTTGCCGCTGGAGTGTCCTCTCTAGGATGCAGGCCTGGGCAGGATTTTATGAGAGATCGGCAGTATCCCATGCAGTACGTCTCCCCTCTCCACGCCATCGATGTTGTCCAAGGAAAAGGTAGAGACCCATAGAGCTTAGCGACGACGTCGTCGCAGGAGTTGAACATAAAAGCGGACTGTCTAAGGGAGTCTGGCTCCAGATTTGTTCTCAGGGTTTACTCTCGAAGCCTTTTCCATGATTGGGTATAAGCCCGAGGCTGTGGAGGTTTAAAATCAGAGTTTTCGTTATCTTTCTGTTAATATATAAATCATAAAAAGTTTTTTTTTTTTTTACTCTTTTTTATCATAATAATGTAAGTGTGTCGCCGAAGTTAAACTGTAAGTTCAAGTATGCCGTGAGATAAAAAAAAAAGTTCAAAAGTATTGCTTGAGATAGTGGGAAGCACATATACCTTATACAAGGCAAAATATTCTGGTATTCTGTAGTATTTAACTTTCTTTTAAACACCTCTTGAGACTTGAAAGCCACTTGGCTGCCAAAATACCTCATAGCAAGAATGTATCCCACAACAGGTTTGACAGTAAAAGGCAGTCTTTTTTTCCATATCGTCTAAGATACATTTCAAGAGCATTAGTCACCAACTCAACCTGTTTCTTCATTAATGGCTACTTGGGAAAATATCCGCTTTCACTCAGATAGCCATCACAATTAAAATTGCTAAAATATGTCGTGAAAGGAGGTTTCTAGAAGATTGTTTGAGCCGAAGACTTCATTCAGAAGGTTTTTTCAAAGGTCACACAAAGCAGTAGCATCGATGTTAGAAAGACAAAAACATCAAATTGATAATTCAATCAGAATTTGAATTATGTTCACTGATTTAATCAATTTTCTTCGCACTTCCATATATTTACACACATTAATATATGAAGGGGTGCTGAAAAATTCTTTACATTATGCGGACAATAATCTTTGTCGCTATATTTATTACGTTTCGGCAGTTGTACGCTCCGGCCTTCTTCAGGTGGTTGGAATGTCGAACTGAACCTTTTATTTCGCTCACTGGGGCAGACTGTTCTAGTTCCACGTGCCATGTCTAATGAATGTCAGTTATCAGTTATGTCCTGTTAATTCCCATCTCCAAGTTCTCCACCGCCTTAACCAGGTATTGAACTCTTTCGGTCCTGTCACTGGATCTAAATAACGCTTTTATCCACTGTGCCATGTGTCTTTGAGGAAATAAAGAGTTCACTTCGAGATTCCAACCACCTGAGGAAGACCGGAGCGTACAACGTCGAAACGTTGTAATAAATATGGCAACAAAGATGAGGACAATGTTCGGAATAATGTAAATATTGTACATAATACCTCATCTCAGAAATAAAGACAGATACTGAAATTTTTTTTTAAATATATGGCCAAATGACCAAACATTAGAATTTTAAAAAGAAATACATTTTTTTTTTACCGAGCCGAAATTTTCACCCCACCACCGGATAAATATGAGATCTGTTCAGAAAATATTCAGCTATTTTCAATATCTTTAAGACCGGCTACGCTGCACTGATATTCTAAGCCGACCAATCAGAAGTGGTCGTACTGAGCATGCGTGGACAGACCCCCTCCTACTCAGTCGGTATTGACACGACACTGAATTTGTATATTCAGCGATCCTTTCATTAAGAACACATATGCATAATTTTTCACAAACCTTAAAATGGGCGTAGTCCAAATCAAATTATGGTAACAACTGTTCAAACGTACCCAGGTATTCGTTAAATTCGATCCACATTTTGGAAGGTCTTCAACAATATGTGAACTTACGGCCGCTTTCGTCTGATATGGAGTGTTTTATACCAGCCGGTTACAGAGTGCAACCACAGCTAAGCAAATTTCCATTTGTCTTAAAGCATATTTCGATCAAAGGTTGCAATTTCTTTATAAGATGATCTCCAGTTCGAAGGCCGGAAAACGAAATAAGCCCTGTTAAAAAAAAAAAGAAGGTATGTTCTGCTCAAATGAAGACCCACTAAAAACAACGTTTGAAATAATAAAAAATATGTCTTTATAAATTGCTTTCTTTCCTTTTCGGATACGAAAATGAGCATTTAGTGCTTTCGAGAAAAAAATCTGAACGAGATGTACTAGATTTCCATAAAGTCTCTTTACAATTTAAAACAAATATTACAAAGGCAATTAATGTCGCACAAAACTAAACTAGATGACCTTCAGCCAACCATCATTTTCAAGCAAGATGATATCTGTCTATTTCTCTGAGATTAAGTATTATGTACACTATTTACATTATTCGGAATACTGTCCTCATCTTTATTGCCATATTTATCACAACGTTTCGGCTGTTGTACGCTCCGGCCTCCTTCAGAATGTTGAACTGAACCCTTTATTTCGCACGCTGGGTAGACTGTTCTAGTTCCACGTGCCATGTCTAATGGGTGTCAGTTATTAGTTATGTCCTGTTAATTTTCCTCTCCATGTTCTCCACCGCTTTAACCAGGTATTGAACTCACACTGGTTCTAACTAACGCCTTTATCCACTGTGCCATGTGTCCTTGAGGACATTTAGACATGGCACGTGGAACTAGAACACTCTACCCCAGCGAACGAAATAAAGGGTTCAGTTCGACATTACAACCACCTGAAGAAGACCAGAGTGTACAACGACCGAAACGTTGTGATAAATATGGGATGAGAACAATAGTCTGAATAATGTATATTGTGTAAGCAAGTTGATGCACCACCAAATTGTGGACTGCATATTCACGGGTTCCTAAATCAAATATTCCCAGACTGTTAGATCGGAAGGGATGGTCTAATTCCCTGGCTACCTCATTCACTACATATCACTTCCTTGGACATCTTTCTATGGGGTTATGTTTAAGATATCGGGTATCAAACAAAAGTATGGGACATCACCGGCCTAAAGCAAATGATCACTGATGTCATTGACATTGCTGATGAGGCTGTGCTACAGCGAACATGTCAAGAAATCAAGTAACGTATCTTGCTGTGCTTCGTACAACTAATGGCGCCCATATAGAGGTGTATTAAATTAGTTTAGAAAAAAAGAAACTTCAATATCTACTCCTCCTTTTGTAACAATCTCCACATATTTGTCTGTTCATTTACTTTTGTAATAAAGGTTTTAATTTGTAAAGACACTTTATGGACACCCTGTATTATAAGGCAAAGAGAAAATTACTGGTCTGTAGGTAATTGTTCTAAATCATGCCGAATCAAACGGTGGTTATCTCTACGAAGAAGTACGCAGGTTCGAATCTTGGCAGGTGGAGCATTTCTTTTTCTTTTTCTTTTTTTTCTTCCTCTAATGCGCAGACAGGTAGAAGGAATAAACCCTGTTTCAAAAAACAAAACAAAAAACAAAAAAACGGAAAGTTCTTCTCAAATACGTGTAACCCCGAAAAATAACGTTAGAATTAATAAAAATACGTCGGATTAAAAATAAATATCTTTTAACCCGTTACAAATATACCTTTATACATGTGTATTTCTGTGTATGTGATAATCACCACCTATTCATTCACCTCATAAACGTGACATCCCGAGCACGTTCTGTGCTTTTTTAACGCCATATGCGAGGCTCACTCGTCAAACCAGTCGACTCTACAATTACCACTTCAAATTCATTGGCCAGTTTGAGAGGAAATGTGAACACGACTCACTCTCGGAGAAGACGTGTATCTGACAAGAGAGAAATGAAAAAAATATATTGGCATTTTCGAAGCTTTAGGCTAATACATACTGTTGACATGTATATTCAAACTTGATCCTTACTCCCGGTGAACAGTAATTATGTATATAGATGTATTTATAACAGGAACACCTGCCTGTCGTTTTCATCTGTCGGTAAGAGCGCTAAATATACGTCTTTGTGCAACTGAATTGAAACAAAACGAATAATTCCGTTATTATTTACTTTTCTTTCGTATTTTTCCAGTGAAACATGGCCTAGTGTACATGTCAATACTTCATATGTCCATTCCACAAATTCGTTCCTTGCAGATTGACCACAGATTCTCGAATGGATTTAAATCAGGAGAGTTTCCGTGCTAGTCTACAGTACTTTGATTTGCTCACTGGTAAGGCTTGCCAGTGTGTTTGTGCAGCGTTACAATTTTCATACGCTTCCTTGGAATAACGTCCATCGCAGAAAAAGACTGTAGGACAACTAATCGACAGTCGAGACAATAGTATCTGGGCGTGATAAATATCTGATGCAATCACGGTTGATGTAATATTTTTCAAGGCCAAACAAATTTCATAATACACCCCGAAAATAGATTCATATAACTGCACACCACTGCAAATGACATAATCTGAGGAAGAAAGTAGAAATCGATTAGACCGCCACTGACCGTATGGTGAATGAAAGGAAACTAAAGCGGTTGTTTCAAATAATTTTCACAAATATGTACGAGGAGCAAGACGCTAAACCTGCACCAATCCCGACGAGTGACCATACCCACAAAGAGAACGCTTGCTAAGTCTAAAACTCACCGGCCTCTAAATTGAACCTGTATATTTGGTCGGGTCATTGTCTCGGTCCAGAAAATACCTAACTCCTGTTGCAATAATCATATCTGAGAAGGTGCTGGCCAATCCTCACTGTCCACTCTCGAGAGAGCTCAAAAGTTCTTACCCGGCCTTTTGGGTGATGAATTATTCTCCATCTGCAACTCTTATCCTACAGAGCAACCGTTCAATACTCTATCGCTATGGTATGGCAGATATCAAAACGAGTTATATTCATTAATGTTATCATCTCGGACCTTCACATCTCAGACCCACCATGCCATGTACACGATGCCAAACCACCCCCATTCCTTTCGTCTTCCTTTGATATTCAGACAACTCCTGAGTGAGTGCTTTCCTGAAAACTACAATCTTTGCTCTGTGTCAACCGGTAACTATTCTACTCATCCTCATAAGGCTTACTTGTATATGACGTTGAAACTCCGGTTCTTGTACGATCACTGAAGTTATGTAACTTCAAGCAAGGTCAGTACCAAAATGAGTGACCGCTCGGGAATACCAGGTGCCGTAAGCGTGGATGTGCGAGTGGTGTAATAGATAATGGCTCGGAATGTCAAATCGGAGAGCGGAATTCCAATTCTCTTACGCGTAAACCACCTCCTCTCTCCCAGCTATGGGTAAATTAGTACATCATTAGTATCAGTAAGTCATTGTTATCTCCAGGAAACTCTTACAATCTAAAAGTATTTACAATAACGTTTAAATAAACTGCAAAAGATTAAAGCCTCTATCTTCGTCTTTACGGAATTCTCTTACTCCCTTTCCCCCACTCCAATCTCTTTCATTAACCCTCTATCTTGGGCCTTGTATTCGGCGAGCTATCTATAAAATCTTTCTTTAGGGGACTTGTGCGTATTCAGTGATATAACATCACCGTTTCCCCTATGGATTTTGGCTAAATTCTTCTATGGCAAATTAAAATTTTTCCCTTTATAGCGAGTCTAGTCCTCCATGAGAAATGTTTATTCCTCCAAAGGATGTGAGGATTATCAGTCACCTAAAATGACTATTTTAAAAATATCGAAAGGCTGATTAAAATGATCAATGTCACATGACACGGGACATCGCAGACGTGCTCTATATATCTCCGATGAACGTTGTAATGGATTTGGTAACACGTAGATAGACGAAGCACTTTAAAGATTTTACGGATAAAATTTCCATTTGCGAATCTCCAAGCAAACGCATAAAAAACGACCATTTTTGCAGAGAAAGTTCACTGGCAATGAAAAATGAATTGCTTATAATTATGTTGAGCGTATAAGGTAGTGAAAGAAACGAAAAAAAACATCGTTAACCAACTCTGGATAACATTGTATCACTCGAAGAAGTTGATGTTATATCGGTTGAATTCACACAAGCACTATTAAACTGAATCGATTAAATACCACAATCGATGAAAAACATTCGGAATTGGTGAAACAGAAACGTTCCGTTTTCTACCAGGACAATACCAGACCTCAAGACTTTTTGCAGACGCGCTAGAAGGTGGTAAAACTTGATTTGGATATTCTACGACTCCTAGCGTACTCCGCCGTTCTGGCTCCTTCGGATTACAATTCATTTCGCTCCCTACAAAATTCTCTTAATAGCAACAATTTCACCCCTTTTGAAGCCTGTAAAAAATACGTCGACCTGTTAGACATCTCGAAAGATGGCCATGTTCTGGGAGGATGCAATCATGAAGCTGCCTCAATGATGGCGAAATATAATGAAACCAAACGGCGCATATAGGATAAAATAAATCTATGTGTAAATATTGTCTTTGAAATTCACTTAAAAAGCGCCTCCAACTTGTGTTTCTAAACAATAAGCAAACTAGCTCGCTAACACTGTGACCAATAGGCCACCCAGCTTGCTAGCACTGTCCTTAATAGATTAGCTCGCTGATTAATATCATCCCAATAGTTCACAAAGGCCTTACTCAGTAAGCTCTTCACCGTGTCAAGGTTTAGAGATTTGTTTTGTCCATTGAAATATGAGTTAATATTTGTTATCGATTTCAATGATGACAAAGTAAAATTCGTGAAACTCTATATTCACAGTAATGACGATGCATCGGTTTTATTTATTTTCCTCGCAAGTTATTGTGAAAGAAAATCAACCCGGTGCAGTCAAAGTTTTTTTTGTTCTTGGGAAAACAAACACTACCGTCTCTACGTCTATCTAAGCCTGCAGTTGGCTTTTTCCAGCCCGAGGTAACGATGAAATGCCCATTCGCCGAATACAGATTTTTATACGAGTCATTTTTTACCAGACTGAGGCTAAAAACCTTCACGAACATTTTACCTGTTTGTTTATATATCAACTATACAGTAGCCATACTGAATAGATTTCTATAGTCCTTTCATATGGTGTCTTCTAACCGAGGTTTGGTTTGATTTGTTTTACGGTATATCAACCTCAATGAGTTATTTAATGCTGACAAAATGCTTATTTCTGGTCATATTTTTTCTTCAAATATGTATAGCTGATATCTTTTTTTTTTCAAAAATATATTGCTGGTAATAATTTTTTTACAAAGTATTTCTAGTATTAAAACCTACTTTTACACTTACATGTTTTTATCCCAGTTTGTGGGCTAACTATTTACCCGTAGTTGGAACCCTAACAGGTGCTACCACCCCGTGTCAAGGTGAACCTGGGAACACCAGCAATTAAGAATTGGTTCCACGCTACTCAAGACCTCCTGATCAAAGGCCTTGTTGTTGGACGTAGTTTATCGTCTTACCCAGGACGGTCTAACCGAGGTAGTTGCGTGTTTATGATAAAAAAAAATCTAAAAATATCTTCTGGCTATATTTCCAAGTGAGAAGAATATGGCTGTCTTAAAAATCAACATTGGAAATCGTAGAGATTCTTTGAAATGGAACATTTTCTGAGGTTAATGATAAACACGCAAATATTTCAGCCAGAATCTTCAATTTCCTCTTCTGAGACGTTATCCACTACACCATCCACACAGTCAAGCTTACGGCACTTGGTATGCCCAAGCGCACACCCATCATTGACCAGCTTTGATGTTGCTTAACTTCGGTGATCGTACACGAATCGGTGTTTTAACAGGATGTGGTTTTAAGCCATTTCGGCTTTTGCCAAACAGAAATAGAAATTAGTAAATAGGAGTGGATAGATTAGCCTATCGTCTGGTTCAGGCTCCTCCCCATTCTTTGTTTTTAAGCTGTTCACTCTAAGCATGGTGAGAGTATCACTAAGACGCAAGGGACTACTGTGAGTGAAAGAGAATGTAAAGACTTTAGAAGGAATCGGAAAACCAATCCTAAACAGGGAACAAAGGATAAACCTCTACTCCTGTTCAAAAGACCGGGAAGGGGTGTGAACCAGTCGATAGACAAACCTACCCACTCCTATTGAGGAGAAGTTAAAAATAAAGTAAATAAATAATTAGTAAATAACATTTCAGAGTTAAGACGGAGACGTTAGAAGTATAGAGTTGAATTAGACTTTAGAAAGAACCGGTAAGCCAACGCTAAACATGAAACAGTTCAAAAGACTGAGGAGGAGTGTGAAGCGGGCAATAGGCGAACATATCTACATCAATCGAGGAAATAAATTGTAAATAAATTTCAGAGTTTAGGTGCATATGTTGATGTAGACTTTAAAAGCAACCAAGGAACTCAATCCTAAACAGGAAACAAGGGATAAACCTTTATTTCTGTTCAAATGACCAGGAGATTTATCACTTGTTTCTTGATTAGGATAGGGTTCCCGGTCCCTTCTAAAGTATTCTCCTTCATTTTTCACACTAAAAGTAGAATTCTGCGTCTCAGTGGCATTATCTCCTCGCTTTCGATTAAAAAACAAAAACAAAAACATTATGACACAGATGTCAATTTGAGTTTCATTCACATTGTTTCTATATGTACGTTTTCGTAAGGCCCTCTGTATTTTAATTCAATAAAAAACCTAAATTTTAAGAAAAAGGTTTTTTTTTCCTTGGACTGCATGCATATGTATGTGTATGGCGCTCCCTACGTAAAAACGACCTTGTGTCACATCCTGCCTTAGTAGTTAAGACGGGTAAATACACCTGATTTTACGGTAAGAGAGGTAGCTACATTTTTCCAATGTTTTATTTCAAATTGAGTAAAACTGTGGGTGTTCTCTTCCGGTTTCCTGCTTTTCTGTCAACTTTGATCTTCACAAATTTAAATGCAATGTCAACCATTATCCTCTGTTCTCTTAATTCTTGTTCTTTTATTGTCCTCTCACCTAATTAGTGTCTTTTTTCTCATATTCTCTGACACTCAGTAACTCCTTGTGTCTTAGTAGCTTTATTGCCTTCCCTGGGGTGAAATGATTAAAAAAACTCTGTATGTGTGTGTGCGCTTGTATATACATTAAACGGCCCACATACTACCGCACGCACACACACACACACACACAAAACAAAAACATACGCATAAAGAGACTTTGCAAGGTTGAAAGTAGGGGAACTCAGTGAGGATCGAACTCACAACTTTGTCGTAATTGTTCAAGCGAGACAAACTTTCCAAGCATTACCCCGCCACGAGGTGCCCCACACGTGTACGTGTGTGTGTATATATATATATATATATATATATATATATATATATATATATATATATATATATATATATATATATATATATATATATATATTATATATATTGATGAACGAAGAATGAACCGTTCTTTTTTCATATAGAAGCATCGATGAACTCCATTGTAGCCAGTTCAGAACGTTGTAGTTAAAACTCGCCTTGCTACATCCACAGGGTTGAATCATCCTCATTCCTTTCGTAAGAAGGAACTTTAATATAGACTGTATCTTTCCAAGAAGCGCTGCTTTGTGGAACAGGGTCCTGCATGGCTACTTCCTCAATCCCTACTTTCTGAAGCTATTCAAATCTAAGTTAAGTTATTATCTATATAGCCTCACACCCCTCATTCAGTAACACACTACTGTGAGTGGCTCTTGAGCCTTAAATTCGGTAAAAATAAATAAGAGCGGGTTTTTGTGAGCTGTTTCCCGTTTCTAGCATCTACTAATATAATGATTTTAAAATATTCGTATTCGTGTAAACTTTTGTCCATTCCTCTTATAAATGGTATGTTCCTCTAGTTTCCACGATTTTTCTTGTGTCACTATATAGTGGATTCGCTTCTATGGAGTGAATAGACTGGGGTCGATAGATATTGACTAAAACCCGAGTTCAGCTTGAAGTCGTATCAGCAATGACTAGTTGTGTCATGGCGGTTTCCTTTGTTCTGCTATGATAACAGTAAGTTCGAACACATTCAGGCACAATCATATCTGAATATGATTCTGTATATTGCATCCATTTCGTTTAAAAGATTTTTGCTACAAGCGGAAAAATATAACAAAGAGACAATAGCCACAAAGAGAATGCTTTCCGTTATTTTTGTCTGTTTTTGAATACAAACATCTAATCGGCAGCAAATCGGCAAAAAAATATCCAAGTTGAAAATAAGTATAACACGCACGGACTAATCAAAATAAAAGATCATTATCTATCTATCTATCTATCTATCTATCTATCTATCTATCTGATTCTGCTCATTTCCTTCCATCTCTGCCTGTCTCTCTCTCTTTCTCTCCCTACATATATATATATATATATATATATATATATATATATATATATATATATATATTTATTTAAAAACTAGGTAATCCGTATGGGTAAACCTAAGGAGGATATATATATATATATATATATATATATATATATATATATATATATATATATAAACACATCTATCTATCTATTTATTGATCTATAAACACACATACTCAGACACATATATGTATATTATATAAAAAAAAAAGATTACATAATTTTTAAATATCAGTTTTACCCCGACTTTGAAGTTTCCTGGTAAGATTTCCGTTCTTTTGGGGGTTCGGTTTTAAATGGTATTTCCGATAGAAATATCATTTAAAATTGATATTTAAAAGTTAAGTATCTTCATATAATATTAACGCTCTATTTTCAATATTATTTTAATATTTTCAATATCGAGCACTATATATAAAAATATTATATATATATATATATATATATATATATATATATATATATATATATATATATATACAGGATTAGATACGCAGTACATTCAGAATCTAAAGTTCTGTGCAAAAAAGAAAGCATTTTACTCTATTAATTGGACTCTACATTTGTGTATGTTACTTTCACTGAAAAACACATACAACAATAAAAAGAAATTCGTGGATTTATCACATTACTAAATTCAGACAAAATTCTCACTTGAATAATTTAAACAAGAACTCTAGCGTTGCAGCATCCCACATTCCAAAGTAATATAGCTCTCAATAAATAGCATATTTTAAGAACATCTTTCGGTCTACACTGCATTTATTTCGTCTTGTTGTTTACCTTTAAATGGAAATATTACGGCCTGAGGATGACAATTCGAAATTGTCGAAAGTACTCGCCCAGGTTCATTAATTCCATCTGTCAACAATATAAATATAAGGATTGCGTTATATATATATATATATATATATATATATATATATATTGAAAATAAATAAATATTAAAAAAATTAAAAAATTAAAATCTTCAGACACACTGGGTTGTAGATTAATATTCTTTCGTTATTATTTCATTTAGATTGCTCGACTAGTTTCGGCCAAGTGGCCATCACCAGGAGAAGAAATATTTCTGCTTGCTGGTAGCAGTGAACTATAAAAGTGACTGTCTTGGTGGAGAAAATGACCTTTTGTCTGTAGTTTTCATTTGTTTTTTTATTTATTTTTTTATTTATTAACTTGAATCTTTTAACATTCCTTGTGTTGGTCAAACAGTCTCTTTTGAGTTGTTATTTGAGATAAGAGCTGGGTGGATCTATGCTTCTCGGAATTCCCCTGGTCAGTTTGACAGTTTTATTGGACCTGGTGAGGGGATGTGTCTCTGTTAAGTGTTTGTGTGTGTGTTATTTGGTTCTTAGGGAGTGAGTGAGTATGATATGTGTAAGCGTGTGTATTGCTGTGGGTGTTGTGTTATCATTTGGCTCATTAGGGAGAGAGTGAATATGATGTGTGGGTGTGTGTATAAGTGTAAGGCCTCAACACCTCCGTAAGCATGTCTGTTTTGTGTGGGTGAGAAATGTGGGTAAGTTTTGATTTGTAGAGTTATATATTAGTATTATCTATATTGTTAAATTTATGGTTTAGCCCGGCTGATGTTGTGTTTTTAGACGTTGTATCCACTTATTTTCATGGAACTCTAAAATCTTTCTAATGTTATCTGCTCTGAACACACACACACACATATATATATATATATATATATATATATATATATATATATATATATATATATATATATCTGAAGGTATATAAACCAAGTGAATCCTAATAATATGAAATATTACAACTGATCTTTTTTTCCTTTTCTTTTTATATTATTCTTTTTTCTTTCTTCCTCTTCTTCTGTTCTATTAATGTCTCTTCCTCTTCCTCTATTCCTTTAATGTCTCTTCCCTTCTTCTATTCCTTTAGTGTCTCTTCTTCCTCTCCATTTATTCCTTCAATGTCTAGATTCTCACTATAAAAATGGAAATCTATATAAGCTTATGACTTCTGCTGCTGCTCCCACTCTCTTCTCTATCTATCTTTTTTCTTTTTTCTCTTTTTCTATCTCGAGCACTATTTTTTAAAAATAATAACTAAAATACTAAGGGACTTTGGATTATTTACCTAACCAGTTCCTTCATATTTTCTATATATTTTCACATATTATTGGCTCCTTAATTTAGGTCGAGCACTCTAAACCTTTATTTTTAAACACCCCTTTAAAAATATGGAAAAAATTAATTTCGGGATTTCTCTCAAAAACATTCCACTAACAAACAAACGGAATTATTTTGTTAAACTTTTACAAAAAACAGAGGAATTAATTAGAAGGATGAGATGGAAGGCATACTTCTACTTTCGTGGCGATTTGGAATCATATTTTTAAATAAATAATTATATTTATGCTCTACATTTGTATCGAGCACTATTTTTTAAAAAATAATAACTAAAATACTAAGGGACTTTTGGATTATTTACCTAACCAGTTCCTTCCTATTTTCTATATATTTTCACACACACACACACACACACACACACACACACACACACACACACACATATATATATATATATATATATATATATATATATATATATATTTGGATGGTTTCGGCTCTCGTTTTTTGAAACATAAGAACTCTTATGTAGCGAAGGAATCATATTTTTAAACAAAAAAATTATAATATATATATATATATATATATATATATATATATATATCCAGTTCTTTCAAAAAGTTTCCATTTTTGGCAATGTAGCTTGAAAAAAAAAACTTTCCTCATGGACGTCCGTATGTAAAAAGAATATGTATTTCTGTAAAATACAGGAAATGTGGCACAATGCCTAAAAAGTGGGGTGGGGAGAGAACGGTCATCATCTGTCTTAATTTTCTAGCCACAACCACTGACCCAATCAAACAATACAATATTCCTACCACCAAAACAACACCTTTCTTACTACATCCACCAAAATACCTCATTGTCTCAATGAAAATCCTAAATAGTCCCCATATGTACAAATCCTTGTCTGTAGCGGGGCGGTGAATAAAAAACAAGTTAAAAAATCCCCAATGATTATATACAATATATGGTTATAAATTATTTACATGCAACTAAACAAAATCAAGTTAGTAATAAAAAAACCCCACAAACCTTAAATGTGGCAGAAATATCAGTTACCTGGACGAAATCGATGCGGGACTATAAGAATATAGAAAACATTCATCCATCCCCAGCACTCACACAGACATGCACTTATTCTGATATAGCAACAAATACAAAAAACACACACGCGAAACGAAAGGCGCCCCGCATCCACCAGAGAACTGACATCACTCACCACCTAACGAGGGAGGGGATGGATAATTAAACTTAAAGTAAAATAGGAACAGAAATAAAAGGGGCCAATGAGCATACTTACCCTAGCTAAGTTTATAGAAAAAGGAAACTAAAAATTCAAAGAACCAAACCTGAGCTAACCTAATTTCAAGATGGGTTGCCCGTGTTCAACCCAGGTAATGCAATATTCTGATGCCTAACCAGCATCAAAGTGCCAATCCAGGTCAGCTCCTTTCACACGACACAAACGCGCAAGATTCACCCGCCTTTTGCCGAATTCTGATGAAGTGAGTCGCCGCATTTCCGTCCTAATCTTGACTTTAAGCTGATGCTTAAAGTATAAGATCAGTTGGGAAGAGGTAAACTTCATAGAATCCTTTCTGACGAGTCGTCCAAATCACGACTCTCATAACACCTAGCAAGCATAAGAACACGTAATGTTCAGCCTTCGTCTAGCGGGAAGCCACATTGCTACAAACAGAATCGGCCTCAAGGACAAAGAACTTTGCAGGCAGCATGCGAACCATGAGACCTTCAACATACCTGCACAACGGTGCTACCATCCTGCAATGAAAGAAGGCGTGACCAATGGTTTCGACTTCCCCACTACAGCGTCGGCAGTTTAGATATTTCTCCAAGCCCGCTGTGCAAAGTCTCTTGGCGACCCAGAGGGCCCCACACATCACCAGCAAGGCGAGTGATGCCTCATTGTTATTGGGACGCTTCAACCCAAGGCCATATTGAGCGAGGCTCCTGCTTCGTAAGACCGAGCTCGTCAATCAGTTCATCACAAACGGCCCCCTCTAACTAACACCTGATATAATGTCATACAACGCCTGAAGGTTGAAGAGGCCATCCGACGCCCATAAAAGGCGTTTGATAGCACGACGACATTCACAGTAGAAGGAGCACTCGACTCGGGGTAAACGGTTTAGCCTCCTCCTCGCACGAGTGCACTCTTCTCAGGGATGTGAAGTTCTTACGGGTGTCTCCCTTCCAGAAGGCACCCTACTCATCCGATTTGCGACACATTCGATCTAGGAACACGATGCGAAGCATATATTAACAAATCTCAATGCTAGACATACCTAGACCGCCTTCAGATGGTTGAAGGCAACAGATATCCCGAGAGACTCTAGCGGCCTTGCCTCCCCACAAAAAGGAGAACAAGAGCCTCACTAACGCCAGTAAAGTGTCAGACGGAAGTGGAAGCACAGAGAGTCGGTAAAGGAGTATCGGGTAGATTGCTTGAAACACAAACTCCGCCCTCACCTTCAAGGAAAGCTTCCTCCGAGACCACAAATTAATTGCGATCTCGACCTTCCCTTACACCTCCGACCAATTCATTTCCAACTGGAGATCAGGACCGAACCAGACGCCGAGAATCTTGACGACTCATCCGTCCAGAGGAAAGGTCCGAGAAGAGAAACTCCATTCCACGCACCCAACCGCAAGCCAACAGACTTATCGCAGTTGATCTTGGCTCTGTCACCGTCTCATAACTACTGCTTTCTTTGCTGACTTCGCCAATCTCGGCCCTGATCGACACAAGAACCGAAACGTCATCAGCATTGGCGGAATAACTGGCCGAGGTGGTAGCATCAGGTAGT